CTCCAACGGACGTTAAAAGGATTCATTCTAGCCCATCCGAACCCGCTCTTCCACGAAGCCTTCTCAGCTCTCCCTTAACCACATTTACTCTCTGCCCCTCTACTTCTACAGTGTTTACTAGTAATATTACTTCATTTTGCCCCTACTTTTGTTTAATAGACTTTATTTTTTAGAGCAGTTTTATATTCACAGCAAAACTGACTGCTATTTGGTTTTGTATGTGCCTCCACCTGAATGAACACTGTGAAAACACAAACTCAATCTTCCTCTTTGGATACTCAGAGGCTGGCACATGGCATCACACAGATCAGCCCCAGCGAATAGGAAACTAAAATGGAAGGGAAAAGAGACACGGTGGGAATGTCCCCAGCACAGCTGCCTGGGTCAGCAGCACTGGTAGCCCGCCAGTGAGCGCCGGAATCAAAGCAGCCCTTCGCTGTAAGACATACATAAAGCTGTTCCCCGCCCCGCCAGGGCTGCACAGTGCAAAACCCGCGCGACCTCGACTTTAGGTGCCTCTCAGGAACCTGAGTCTTGTGTTCACACCCTTCGTGTGGTAGAAGGGAAAGTAGATTTGGTCAGGTTTGGATCCATATCTACTGTAGATAACTAGGACTCCTATAACTGTGCCTTATTGTTCAATGTAATACAGGGAGACAGTATCCCCTCCCCAGCTATGTTCATCAGGAGGACGCTATGAGAAAACTTATCCATGACAATTCACGGGTTACTAGGAGAAATGTAAAACTCGAGTATTAATATACTGCAGACAGCTTCTCCATTAAGTCACAACCAGAGCCAATGGCATAAATTCATTATAAGGAAAAAACTGTTTAAAAATTAGTTATTTTATGCTATTGGTTTTTCCTCTTGGCTAGGATGTGATAGTCTTGCTTATACTGATTCTGCTTATGGTTATAGCAGGGTTTGAAACTGTTATATAGATCTGATTTATAATTATATAGTTATACAACTATATCACATTATTGTATTTATAACATTATATATATTTTATGTGATGTATGTGTATATACACCAACTACATATACTTAGCATGTGTAACTATACATATACATACAACTATATGTTTTTATAAAACTATATGCATAGGTATATCTAAGTTATATATAACTTATCACTGTTCTTTGACATCTTTTAATTTGGGGCCTTGTTTCATTAATCAAGTGTCTCATACTGAAGAATGTTATACTTGTCTCTTTTAAAGGATCAAGTTTAAACTGTCAGTTACAAACTGCACCTAGAACAGACACCGATGGTTTTAGAAAAGGAAAAAAAAAAAAAAGCAATACCTGAGGGTTAAAGAAAAGTAACTGAAGTGAATCAGGCAGCTCTCAGACTACTGAGGCAGAGTCACCCAGGCCTGGAGTATTCCCAGGGGAGAAAGGAGGTGGCTTTGGGGAGCTCCAGAGAGAACCACCAGTTACTGAGTGCCCACCGTGGACCAGGCACTCTCCCCAGGCTCTTTCATTTAACCTTCACAGCCCTGCAAGGCCGATACCGTCCCAGGATCCTCTTCTTACATCTAAGAACCCAGAGGTTCAAAGGGGTTAAGTAACTATGGCTAGTTTGCTGAAGAGCTGAGATTTTAACCCAGACTGGCCAGACTTCAGAACTGTCTTTTCCAGAACATGATGCTACCCTCAAGAGAAGAGCAACTGTGCTTGAATATGAGGAATTCTGTCACCTTCTCCAAGCTCCCTTGTTGCAGTTCTTTCCTCCCTCTTCAGTGTCCCACACCCTGAGGGTCAGTGCTGTCACCCCCCTGCTCTCTCTTTTTTAAATAAATTTATTTATTTTTATTTTTGGCTGTGTCGTGTCTTCACTGCTGTGCGCAGGCTTTCTCTAGTTGCAGAGAGCGGGAGCTACTCTTCATTGCGGTGCACGGGCTTCTCATTGTGGTGGCTTCTCTTGTTGCCGAGACGGGCTCTAGGTGTGCAAGCTCAGTAGTTGTGGCTCGCGGGCTCTAGAGCGCAGCTCAGTAGTTGTGGCGCGTGGGCTTAGTTGCTCTGCGGCATGTGGGATCTTCCTGGACCAGGGCTCGAACCCGTGTTCCCTGCACCAGCTGGCGGATTCTTAACCACTGCGCCACCAGGGAAGCCCTCCTCCCTGCTCTCTTGATCAAGAAAACTACAGTTCCCTTTCGGCAACCCCCACCACTCGTGCAGTCAAAAAGGTGATCCCTAAATCAGTGTTTTTCTTGTAAACTTTAGATCAAATGCATTAGTGAGTCAGAAAATTAATTTAGCAGGTTAAGACTAGTTTTTTAAAAATGAGATAAAACAGAAAATAGAGGGCACAGAAAATAGTATGGGTATTTTTTTGTAAATTTTTGCTTTAGTTAGGTGGATGTTTGTATCATTTAGTCATAGGAATGTGCACAGCATGAGATAACGTGTTTCATTCTGCGAGTGGTCAAGAAAGCACTGTTAACATTTCAACTCAAAAAGAACCATCTTCTGTCTCAAAACAACCAAGATATGTTTCTTAAACGAGGTAAAAATGTACAGAACATGATCTTTTCAAATTCCAAGCCACAGATTATTTTTATTTGATGAAAACCAGCACAAGTTAAACTCTAATTCCTGTTACCCCTAAATCAAACGATACCACAAAACTCTTTGTAAAGTAAGATTCTAATCAGTCACAGGTGGTCCAATTAGCTCAACTATTATCTGATATAATGAAATTCTAAGAAAGTTAATCCTTTGGAATTCCTAATAATGGGTTAGTTAGTAGTTAACTGAAAACTCATATCCAACAAACCATTGGGAGAAAAGGCAATTAACACTTACCTGCTGGAAAATTCAAAATCAAATGCTTTTGAAAACTTACTTTCATATTTATCCTTTCCCATGTAAATAGTGTAAGCAGATGAGTTAACTAAGACAAAACAAAAATAAGAATAGTTAGATAACTTCAACACCAACACAACTGTTTGATGAGAAAAACAAGTGACAAATGCTTATTAGGGGTCGGCAAAACATTCAAGGCCTGTAGGCCAAATCCAGCCCTGTTTTTGGACAGCCCTTGAGCTAAGAATGATTTTTACATTTTTAAAGGGTTGAAAAAAGCAAAATGAAGAAGAATAAGCTAGAGAGACCGTATGTGGCTTACAAACTCTAAAATACTGACCATCTGGAGAAGGTTTACCAACCCTCACTAAAAATGGCTAGTTTCCTACTTTCTCAGGGATTTAGTTCAACGCAATTCCAGTTCAGTCCTATACTTTTGCCTTCTTCAAAGTAGTTTTAAAAAAACAACGACCAAAACTCTTCACCTCAACCATTTAAAAATAGGTTCCTATACTCAGGCAAGTTTTATTTTTCATAATTTGATTTAGTTATGTCCTAGGTGTGCTGCAAATTATAATAAGCTCCCTATCACATTCAGGGGAAACACTGGCTCTCTAGCTTCTTCTAATCAGTGGCTCTGAACCCTGTTTACACATTAGAATCACCTAATTTTGCCCCAGCTCCACCTAAGACCAACCAAATCCAAATCTCTGGGGATTGGGGTTTTGCAAAAGATCTCTTTTTACAGTGATTCTAATGTGGAGTCAGCATTAGGAACCACTACCCTAAATCAAAAACAATATTCTGGGTATGGTTTACCTTAGAAATGACATTTGCTTTCCTGAGCTAGTGTGTTTTGATGTGGGCATCCTCCATCTGGAATCAGTTAGGTTTTGTAATTGAAATTCTAACTGGGTCCTGGTTTTCCGAGCTAGTCTACCAAAACCTGTTAGACCCCATTTGGACCTAGACTCCTGAATTAATAGCCACTGAGCCTCTGCCTACAAAGCCTGGCAGACAGGTACAAGCTTGGGCCAGGCAGTCTGCTGGCTGTCGCTCCAGAGAACTACCGTGTGAGTGGAACTCTGAAGGCTGGGAAACAGCACTCTTTCATTTACAGATTCTTAAATTCAGGATTGCCTGAACATTCAGAATGAGAAGCTTCTTAAATGATCAATCATAGTTGCCTCTCTTGGGGACAGAAAACTCCCAATTCCTTCAGTTAGCAGTTATGATGACTATAGTCCATAATTACTTGGAAATAGTTGAGAAAAATAACTTGAAAGAAGAGAATTTTGCACTGACCAGTTGACAGAAATCCTTGTCTAGAACAGAGCATTATATTAGCTTGATAAGCCCTTTGCATAGCATATAACAAATGCCAAGTGCAGGAGTACAACTAAAAAGTGTTTCAGATCCTCTCTGTACATTGTTATATGGGTACACCCTTTTGAGCCTATAAATGTCACCACTAGGAGTATATATCCTACTAATTAATACTCCGTCAATCAGTGATGTTCTTTTTACAACTTAAAACACTCATTAGTTAAGACTGGTTATACACTATAGAATATCCATAAACAAAATACCATGTACCCATTAAAAAGAAAGGATAGGTGAAGAAATTAAACAGCAGAACAGTATTTTTGTGTATCTATATACAGTAATATTCAATTTGTAAAAAATCAGTAACTGTGTATACATAAACATGTTTACATATATATTTTTAATACACACACACCCGTTTTATTTATACTGTGGAAGGATATATATTTAATTGTTAACAACAGTTACCTTGTCTACTTGCTTATAAAATGTATAGATGGTTTTTGTAGTCAGAACAAAGGTAATTTTCTTAAATGATCGAAATAAACAAAGCTGTCTCCGCAGGACAAGCTATCTAAATTACAGCCAAGAGAATGACAGATGGTTCTTTGGATGGTTGACCTATAAAATGAGGTGATTAAGAACATAACTGCTACAAGCCCAAACTGAGGGGCATTCTACAAAGTAATTCTTCAACTGACAGTGTCCGTGTGAGAGACAAAGACTGAGCACTGCTCCAGATCAGAAGACGCTAAAGAGTAATGAATGACAGCGGAATGCAACAATGATTTGTAATTTTCCTTTGTTATAAACTCATCACTAGGACACTGATAAAAACTGAATAAAAGCTGCTGATTACATACTAGTATTGCTGCAATGTTAATTTCCTGATTTTGATAATGAAGAATGTCTTCTGATAAGAGAATATCCCTGATTTTAGGAAAAACACCCTGAAATATTTAGGGGTAAAATGCAACTTACTAACAAACGGTTCAGGAAAAAAAAAAATCTGTGTGTGTGTGGAGAGAGAGAGTTGGGCGGGGAGGGGAGCTGGAAAAAGAAAGAGAAAGGGGAAAAGAAGGAGATAAGGTATATGTGGTAAAATGTTAGAATTTGGGGAATCTGAGAGAAGGTTATAAAGGAAATCTTTTACTATTCTTATAACTTTTCTGAAATACTGAAATTATGTCAAAATAGAAAATTAAAAAGGAGCATGACTGCTGAGTAAGAAATCTGAATTAAGCTCCAATCCATGTTAGAGGGATAAAGGAAAAGTAAACTGAATTATTCTAGTATTTTTGTTACTCTCACCCAAATATTAAGGTTGATTAGTACGGGAACTAGTTATCTTGAAGATACCTGATACAGGTGTAGCAACCAGGCCAACTTTAGAAGCACTGTGATAATTTCATAATTTACAGAACAATCTATCTTGAGACAGATGCTAGTAAAAGGTACTAAAAGTACAAGTGAAGTTAATGAACCATGCGCAGGTAATTTGTGTGTCCATAAATCAGAGGGGCTTAAATTTGACAATGGAAGTATAGCAAGGCTAATGTTTCATTATTCTCTTATGAGAGTGTGAAAGAATAAAACTAAGCAGATTTTAGTTAGAGATACTAATTTCAAAAGGGAAGGCAAAAACTTTCTATTGAGATTTTCAACCCATTTTTTTAAAAAGTTTTTTTGCAGTAAACCATCAGTTGCTTGAAAAGCTTGGCTATCTATACGAAGACATTTCCTGCAGATTCTGTATGTTCAAGTTGTTTTCTGTACTAGGATATATAAAGTTTTACTACTATCTTACTGGAAGTTATAATTTTTCCATTAACTTTGCAATTTTAAAAGCTGCACAAATGCAGATTTATTAGACTTAGAGGCCAAATATTTTTCTGACAGGAAGCAATTCTGATGTTATAATGGAAGCCAATGAGAAAAATATGATCCACAAATCAACTGAAGCACTCTGTTCTATTAAGGGCACCTGCGTGTGTATGACTAGCACGCAAGGAATTTAGAATCACTTTAAGGAGAACAAAGCAGCCAGCATAAAATACATTTAGCACCTATATGGCCTGCCTATAGTTTTCATTCCATTGCTGGACTTGTACGGGTAACTATGTTGTCAGGGACTCTCATGAGAGGCTACGAAGAGACACTTCAGTTATCTGGAGGTGCAGGACAGGACAGAGGAAGGATGAAAATACTATTAGGGGCCTAAAATGATTTTTCAGGCCAGTGTGAATTTTGTTTTTAGTAATTTTAATAATATGGGTAAGACAAAATTAAGCCTATAGAGACAGAGAAATAGCTTATGGCACACCGTGGAAGCCTAAACTACTGAGAAAAATGAGATGTGATAGTATGACGGAGTATCAGGGGAGGGGGTCTGTGAGTTAGAACTTCCCTGGGATTCAACGTTCTCATCTCTAAAGAGCAAGTACCACTCTATTCAAACACAAACACTGCGCAGCTAGTTTCACTTAAATCTCACCTTTAACAAGTAGGCAGAGCCAGTAGCAACAGAATAGAGTGTGCTAGAAGTCAAAAAATATCATTCATTTATTCAATAAGTATTTATTGAGTAACTATTATGAGCCAGGCACTACACTAGAGAAACCAGGAGATCCTCTCCCTGCCCTCAAGGGGCTTACACTCTATCTCAAGCAGACAGAGTTTAATATCATATGACAAGTGCAATGCCAAAGGCATACATGGGTGTTAAGGGGATCCCCGAAGAGTTATATCTAAGCAATCCTGGGGTGGCGACAAGGCGGGAAAGGCATCTGGAAATGACAGGCGAGGGCTGTCTCGGGGGAGAAGCAGATAACTGGGTGATTGATTGTAGGCAAAGGGAACAACATAAGCAGAGAAATGAAGACACAGTATTTCCTGGGAACTAAACACACCCTTTCCTTGCCTGCCAAAGACAAATCAGAAACATTATCATGTCACTTTTCAAGATCTGGGACATCAACTCTGCCCAGTGAGTGGCTGTATCGCTATTCCAGAGACTTTTCATGGCTTTCTGTAACATCCAGGCCCTATAACCCTTTCCTAGAAGGCTAAGGCGCACTTCCGGTAAGGCAGAGTTGTTGGCAGATGTCTCCTTTCTCTCTCTATGCGGGTAATTACCAGGGCGCAGCTAGATTAAAGGTTACGGGGGTGGGTGGGGAAGGGAAGCCTTGGGATAGGGGTGCGAAGAAGTCCACAAACTGTCCAATTCCAGGTAGCGACAGGTCTCTCTGAATGAGGGAAAAGAACAACTCCCGGAGGCAAAGACAGCAAGGGGGATGGTGCCTCTACGCGCCCCCAGGCCCTGACAAGGGGGCGCACGGTGGGGACTGGGGCGGACACGGTGGGGGGACCATGAGGACGCGGGAAGAGGCACCCACTGCCGAGGAGGCGCTCAAGGACCAGCCTCAGCGGCGGCCTGGGGGTCTCGGCTTCGGAGCCCCGCGGTCGAGCAGGGACCCGGGAGGTCTCGGCGCCCACTCACCGCTGCTGCTAGTGAAGTAGAACACCATGATGCCGGCGGCGGCACGGCGACTCCAGCGCCGAGCAGCGGCACTCAGCTCTAGAAGATCAAGATACCGGAAGCGCGGAGGCCGCGTCCCCCGGAACTCCTCCGCGCACTTCCGGCGGACGTCGGGCAGTGTCATAACGGCGGCTGCTGTCTTCAATCCTGGTGGGTTACCCTGTTGGCTCGCTGAGAGCTCAGCTTACTAGGGGATTGAGGGGAAAGAGGATGGAGCCAGGACGATAGGTGATTGGAAAACTGCGGGTAAACTGGAAAACTGCGGGGAAACTCCGTCTTTCTAAGAGAAAAATGTCATTCACTGACTTTATTTTCAGAACCTCCACCCCGTGAGCGGTCAAATCTTGAGGCTTAGCTCTTGGTCTTATCTGCCTCCTTTCACCCGCATCTGGCCTGCCTGAGAGTAGAAACCTGTTGTCATCTTCTCAGCTAGGCGTTCACTGAGCCAGTTACGGTACTTGGCACTTAGTAGGAGCTCATTAAATTTTGAGTGAACCCCAGTTCCTCCACTATTCTCATTCTAGGTCCATCACCTACTGGGCACATTTGGTGCTGCACTTAACCTTAGCTGTAAAATGAAGATGAATAGAGCTGCTAATTCACAGGCTATTTTGCCAGGGTTAAATAAGTTAATGGGCAAGACTGGGCAAACCTCTGAACCTCAGATATCTTCCAGATGTAAAGTGGGAATGATCTGACTCAAGGTAAGTTCCCACAGCACTTAGTTTTAACCTATTTCTCTTAACTTCATCTGACCGACTTCATTCTGTGAAGTTAAGCACATCACTTAACTAAATTTATTTAGAACTAAGAAAGTGCCAGAGACTGTACCAGGAGCTGGTACACAAAGATAACAACAGTAGCTAATAATCAGTGAGTGCTTTAGGAATCTTTGGGCTTTGCAAAGGAAGAACCTACCTCTGTCCTATAGTCATTGTTTTCAGGCCCTCAGTTTTATTCTCTGTAAAATGGGAATGATGATACATATCTCATAGACTGTGGTGAAGAGTAAATGAAATAAAACACATCAAACGTGCAAGAATGCCTGGCGCATAGATGTTACTGTCATGATTTTTAAATTTAACTTGAAAAATGAAAAAATGAGCTGGAAACCTAACGTATTACTAGTAAAAAAAAAAAAAAAAAAAAAAAAGGTAAACTAACAGTAAAGCTTCAAATGTGAAAAATAACTGCCTCGAAATCTTAGAGAGGCTACTTTACAAAAACATCTTACACCAAGTGACCTTAGAATGTGCCTGGAGTTCCAGAGTTTAAAATAATATAAAAACCTCAGTTTTGTTCTGCTAAAAACTACAATTCCCAGAATGCATCTTAGATAAGGCCTCCGGAATGGAGCCCGGCGCGCCTCACGGGATTCTGGAAGATTTGGTTTCGGAGAGGAGAGCTTTTAGCCTTGCAAGGGCGGGAGAATCTTGGAGACCGCCTTTCGGGTGGGCGGGGCAAACGCTAGTGCACAACCAATCACCGAGCCAGCCCCTGGACGCGCTGGGAAGCGGCCAATCGGAACTCACCTACTTCTGCCTGGACTGGCGCGCGAGAATTTGAATACAGTGGGGACCCCTGGCTCTGCTGAGGAGAGGTCGCCAGTCCGAGGGGCGGGTAAGTCCTGCGGAGGGTCGAGGTGTGGGGTGGAAGAGCCAGGACACCGGGAGGTTCTGTGGAACGTGGAGGTGAATGTTAAGGAAAAAGAACTTGTGCTCGGTGCTTGGCGCGTTCGCGGCTAGAGACCGAAGCCAGCGAGCGGGTGTCCGCACTTCCAGATCACCGGGTTTCCATCTTTCTGACGCCGAATTTTCTCGTCTTTTTACCCTGACAGCGTTTGGGGACAGAGGCGCTTTTCTCTCCTACCTTTCCTCATTCAGCCCCGGAAGGGTCTTCCCTTAAGCCGCAGCTCGACACGAATTCCCAGAGACCCAGGTCTTTCTGTTTGTTTGAAGTCAAGCTTGTGTAATTTTTTTTTTTAATATACTTGATCCGAAGGAAGGGGAAGGGAAAACGCTTATTGAGCAACATACCATCAGCCCGAGAGTTAACATGCGTGATTGTGTTTACCCGCAGCCTTAGGAGGTCAGAGTATTTTGTAAATAAGGAAACAAGCGGCTCCTCGACTAGAAAAATGAGAGAGGATTATGCTTCCCCGTTTTCTTGCTTCTGATGAAAAAGCTAGAGACGGTCTCTGCCTTCTTTGAACATGCAGGCTGTTGAGAAAGACAGTCAAACTAACAGCAAGAAAATGTGCTAAACGGATACCAAGGAGGTGCAGGATGGAATGGAAGCCTAGGGCAAGAGCATCTAACAGCAGGAGGGGTAGGGGTGAGGGCAATGGCAAGGACAGCTGCCCAAAATATAAAGTGATTAAACTTGGTATGGATTCATCAGGCTAATTGAAGGGAAAGTGTGTCCTGAAATGGGGTAAAATCCTTCCTTGGTAGGATCATTTTCCGGCTTGAAACATGTAGTATTCCTGCTTAATTAGTTAATTAAATTGTGCTGTCCTGGCTGAATTAGTTACTACTGTGATGTAGTGTTTTTCCTTTTCTTTTTCTTTTTTTACCTTCATGGTTTAAACCTTTATTAAAGTGATTTTCTTTTTAAACCCATCCCCCCTTTTTTGGATATTTATGGACCATTACCCATCTGAGAACTCTTTCAGACTTATAAAGTATAATTTTGATTTACTGATTTTTATACACATTGGAATAATTTGGTTATTATATTGTTCTGTTGCTTTTAGGAGTTCAGTTAAGAAGATGTCAACTTTAACTCCAAGGAAAAGGAAGCAGCATTCTTTGAACTGTGATAAGTGAGTCTCACGAGTAGAAACTGTTAAAAAAAGAAAAATTCACCATCTTGCATTTTTTACCTCCTCTCTTCTATCTCTAAACATTTCTGTTCTTCTATTCACCTACTCCTTGTGGCTACAGTAATACTTTATATTCTAATTCTAGTCTGGAAATACCGTAAGCTTTCATAATTAATTCTTTAAGGCCTTTGGAGGGAATCAGAGAAAGGGCTGTTTCCTATGGCTTGGAAATGTGGGTCAGATCTTTTATTACCTTGCTCCTTTCTGCTTTTTTATGTAATATTTAACATACTGTTTTGCATATAGTAGATACTCATCAGTAAGCAATCCTCTAAAGCTCTATACTCTATGTATGTCATACCAGAGATATATATTGTAGAACAGCCCTAAGTGGTCAGTTTATTACATAAAATTAATCATTTTAGGGAAATTATAGCAGGTATATGGCCCAAACTTAGAAATAGGTTTTAAAACACACACACACATATACATGCATCTCAAAGCTTCTCTGTAAACAGTGTTTGTTTTCACAAACATTGGAATCTTAGTTTTGAAAAATATTCAAATGCTTTGTTTGGTAAAGACAGAATTTGAGAATCCTGCTGTTAAACTACTAATGTGTATGGATGGATGTTTGGTGGAGAAGATGCATTTTTAATATGGCTTACAGGTAGAGCTGTTTATTGCTTAGCAGTAAATTGACATAGAAATGGAAGCAAAATAACTATATTTATCAATGGACTGTGTTTTTTTTCATAGCCTATTATCAGAAATTCCATCAAAGAAATTAATTTCAGACTTTACTGAAAATATATTTCCATCACCTAATAAAAAGCACATTTGCCAAAGCAGTGATAAAAATGAAGGAAAGATTCATTGCTCTCAACAAGGCCACTTCATTTCAAGTCCACTCAAAACGACTAAAAATAGATTGCCATCTACAAATCAAGGTTCACCATTTAAATCTGCTGTGTCTACCATATCCTTTTACAACAAAGATAAGTGGTACCTCAATCCACTGGAGAGAAAGCTGATAAAAGAGAGTAGATCTGTTTGTCTAAAAACTAATAATGAAGATAGATCATATCCCAGTGTGACAGGAAAAATGCAGGGAAAACCAGCCTGCTCCAAGAAGATGAACAAAAAACCACAGAAGAGTTTAACTGCTAAGTGTCAACCAGGATATAAGTGCATCGAGCCTGTGTCAAAGAATCCTAAAAATTCCAAGCAAAATCGAGTGGCCTATAAGCCAATTGTGGAGAAAGAGAATAATTGTTACTCAGCTGAAAATAATCTGAATGCTCCTCGAGTTCTAAGCCAAAAGGTCAAACCACAAGTTACCCTCCAGGGAGGAGCGGCTTTTTTTGTTAGTAGGAAAAAACCCTCTCTGAGAAAATTGTCTCTGGAAGATAAGCCATTACTGGGACTCACCCAAAAGAATAAATCAGAAGTTATTGAAGAGTCTGATGTGGAAACTGTCAATGAAAGAAGTTTTGAGACAAGGCAAGTGCCAAAGTGTTTGTTAGTAGAAAAAGAACTGAACACTGAGCTGCTGAGTGAAAGAAGTAAAAATGAAGAGAAATTAATAAAGGTAAATGTAAATATATTACTTTAAAAACTAAGCTGGCCATATAACAGAGCTTCAGTATACATTGTATATATGTAACTTTGAATAAAATTTGTTGTTTTTTTTTTTTATAAATTTATTTTATTTTTGGCTGCATTGGGTCTTCCTTGCTGCACGTGAGCTTTCTCTAGTTGTGGTGAGTGGGGCTACTCTTCGTTGCTGTGTGCGGGCTTCTCATTGCGGTGGCTTCTCTTGTGGAGCATGGGCTCTAGGTGCACGGGCTTCAGTAGTTGTGGCTCGCGGGTTCTAGGGCACAGTAGTTGTGCACCGGCTTCATTGCTCTGCAGCATGTGGGATCTTCCCAGACCAGGGCTCGAACCTGTGTCCCCTGCATTGGCAGGCAGATTCTTAACCACTGTGCCACCAAGGAAGCCCAAAATTTTGTTTTCTTTACAGTCTGTAGGACTGCTTTTATGAAGCCAAATAGTATCATCACTATAAAGAATTTAGAGACAGGGTAGAAAGATGGGCTTTTCCTCCCTTTTTTGGCTTACAGAAGTCTACCAACATTTTCTTGGCATTAAGGTTTACATCTCATTAAGTTCCCTCATAACTGTGGTCCAGAGAAACTTAACTTTTACTTGGTAGTCAGTGTTTTTAGAAAGTAGAAATAACAAAATTCAGGTAGTAGATTTCCAGAAAATGAGCATATTTTTGTTTGTTTGTTTGAGCTCATTATTTAAAGTACTAGCTTATTCTAGAAAATTTAGAGAATATAAAAAATATGTATCTTCTGTAATCCCACTACTTGGAGATGATCACTGTGAATGTATAGTTGGGTTTTTGTTTATTTTACATAGTATGTTTTCATGGGTGCCATTCTATGCCTTTTTTTTTTTTTTTTTTTTTTTTTTT